GCGACGGCGTCGACGCCCGCGAGGAAGCCGAGGCTCTCGGCGCGCGGCAGGGCGCCCGCCCCGCCCGGCCGCGCCCGCGGCGGCGCCACGGCGCCGGCGCCGGCGTCGGCGCCGGCGTCGGCCACCGGCGCCGCCGCCTTGGCCGCCTTCCCGCCGCCCGCAAGCGCCGCGCCCGGCGGCGGCGCCTCGCGCCGCGGGCCGACGATGATTTCCCCCAGGAGGCCGGCGTACGCGTCGCCGCCGGCGGACGCCATGGACGCCGTGTGGCAGCCCACGAGCCTTAAGGGGGGACAACAAGGGTTCAGCCAAACACCCGCGGAAGGCCCGAAAATTCAACCTTAGCTCGTATCGGACCGCCGCCAAATCCAACGGCCCCTCGGTCTGGCCCCCGCCGTCGTTCTCGCCGTCGTTCTCGCCGTCGTCGGGCGCGCGCGGCCTCGCGGGCGCGCGTGTTAGGCCCCCCGCCTCAGGCGTCGCGCGCGCGCGCGGCGCCGCGGCCGCGGCGCCAGTACCGGACCGCCACGAGCCCCGCGAGCGCGGTCGCGAGCGCCGCGACGGTCGCGTCCGGCGCCGCGCGCGCGTCGAGGAGCCGCGCCGCCGCGTCCGCCGCGCGCGCGGCGCGGGCCGCGGCGCCCGGGAAGCGCTTCTTCGCCTCGGCCGCGCCCCACTCGGCGTAGAGGAGGCCCAGCGCGAGCCGCGTGGGCCACGCCGCGTCCGGCGACGCGTCCGCCGCGAGGCCGTAGTGCCGCTTCGCGAGGTGGAAGTCGCGCGCGACGCCGAGGCCGCGCTGGTAGCACCAGGCGAGGTTGAAGGTCGCCTGCGCGTGGCGGAGCTCGTGGGCCTGTGTGGAAATCAACGAGTGAGCTGGGACGTCGGGGCCAAACTTCAGAATTCTCTAGCTCGGTCAAATCGACGTCGATTCGGCTGATTTTTGGACGAATCGATTGCTCTCATCGAGTTCTCGAAGCACAGCGGAAGTGTTCGGGTCAAAACACTCGAATACGCTCACATTGAAGTCGAGTTGAAGATTTGATTTCCACACAGCTCGTGGGCCGCCTGGTAGTGCGCGACGGCCCGCGCGAGCCGCGCGGGTTCGTCGAGGTCGCCCGCGGCGCCGCGGCCCGCCGAGTAGAGGTCGCCGAGGCGGAGCGACGCGGCCGCGTGGCCCTGCTTCGCCGCGCGCTCGTAGAGCGCGAGCGCGCGGCGCTCGCAGGCCGCCGCGGGCAGGCCGTCGCAGGCCGCGGCGCCGCCGCCCGGCGCGCCCGCCGCCGCGGCCTCGAGGAGCCACGCGGCGTTGGACTGCGCGACCTCGTAGCCCGCCTCCGCGAGGCGCGCGTACGCGCGCCGCGCGCCCGCCGCGTCGCCGCGCCGGTACATGGCGTGCGCCTCGGCGAGGCCCGCGATCCAGGGCCCGCGCTCCGCGACGGTCTTGTACGCGTTCACGGCGACCTCGCAGCTCCGCGCGACGCCGAGCGCGCGCGCGTACATGCGGCCCACGCGGTGCAGCGCCGCGACGTGGCCGTTCTGCGCCGCGAGCGAGAAGAACTGGAGCGCCTTCTGCGCGTCCTTGCGCCGCGCGCGCGGGCTCTTGGTCTCGCGCGACGCGCCGCCCTTGCGCCGCCGCGCCGCGAGGCCGTCCCGGAGCTTCGCCGGCGCCGCGGCCGCGTCCGCGGGCGCGCGCGCGGCGTCGTCGCCGTCGCCGTCGGCGTCGCCGCCGCCGCCGCCGCCGCCGTCGAGCGCGTCGGCGAACGCGTCGATGGCGCCGTCCTCGCGCTCGCTCTCGCCGTCCCAGCCGACGTGGACCATGCCCAGGTGGTAGAGCGCGTCCATGAACCCCTTCTCCGAGGACCGGCGGAAGTAGGCCGTCGCCGCGTCCGCGTCGCCCGGCGCGCCGCCGGCGCCGCGGAGCGCGACGACGCCGAGCGCGTCGAGCGCGACGGCGTCGCCGCGGTCCTCGCCCTTGGCGAGCCACCGCGCGGCCTCGGCGTCGTCGCGCGCGACGCCGAGGCCCAGCGCGTAGCAGTGGCCCGCCCAGCCGAACGCCGCGGGGTCGTCGCCCGCCTCCGCCGCGCGGAGGAAGTAGCCAAAGGCGCGCGCGGGGTCCTGCGCGACGCCGCGCGACCCGTGGTAGTGGAGGTGGCCCAAAGCGAGCATGGCCTGCGCGTCGCCCTGGTCCGCCGCGTGCCGGTAGTAGTGGAGCACGTCGCCGCCGCGGTCCGGGCTGCCGCCGACGCCCCAGAAGCCGCCGCGGCCGCCGGGCGTCTCGCGCCAGGGCTCGTCGCCGGCCCGCGGCGGCGCGTCGCCGGCCGGCGCCGCCGGCGCCGCGGCGCCGTCGCCGGCGCCGCCGGCGCCGCCGGCGCCGCGGAGCAGCGCGGCCGCGGCCGCGGCGACGCGGCGCGCGGCCGCGGCCGCGTCGCCCGCGCCGCCCGCGCCCCAGAGCTCGGCGAGGGCGCCCGGCGCGCGGCCGAGGCGCGACGCCGCGAGCGCCCGGACGACGGCGTCCGCGCCGCCGTAGGCGTTCCGCGGCGCGCCGAAGTCGGCCGCGAGGCGCGCGCGGTCGTCGGGCCGGAGCACGCGCTCGCGCCGCGCGCCCGCGAGGGCCGCGTCCGCGGCGGCGGCGTAGTACTCGAGGGCCGCGTCGCAGCGCGCGGGCACGCCCGCGCCGTGGAGGTGGCGCCAGCCCAGCGCCATCTGGCTCAGCGGGTCGCCGCCGAGCGCGCCAAAGTACTCGTGGAGCACCGCGACGTCCTCGCGCGCGGCGCGCGCCTCCTCCTCGTCGCCGCCGCCGCCGCCGCGCGCCGCGCCCGCGCGCGCGGCCGCGTAGGCGTCGAGCGCGCCGGCCTCGCCTGGGCAGGAAAAGGGTGCGAAATTCCCAACTTCAAAGGCTCCTATCTCGATCGTTTTCCGCTCGTTTCGGCTGATTTTTGGACGAGCGATCATCTCTCGGAGCGCTCTCGAAGCCGAGATGCTCTTTCCGGAACGCGCGCGCGCGGAACACTCATGTTGAAGCGAACTTGAATCACCCTTTTCCTGCCCTGGGCCTCGCCCGCGTCGCCGAGCACGAACGCGCCGGACGCGAGCGCGACGGCCATGGACAGCTGCGCCGCGGGGTGGCCCGCCGCGGCCGCGCGGCCGTAGAGCTCGAGGCTCCGCGGCACGTCGCGGGCGACGGGGCACCCGCGGCCCCCGTGGCCGATGCCAGGCCAGTCGCAGCCCTTCTCGTAGAGCAGCGCGAGCTCGAACGTGCCGTGGCGCGCGGGCCGCCCGCTGCCCCGCTCGCTCGCGAGCGCGTACATCTCGACGGCGCGGCCGAGGTCGGCCGTGCCGTTGCGCGACCCGCTCCGCCAGCGCTCCGCCTCGGCGACGAGCCGCGCCGTCTCGTCCTCGCTCAGCGGGGCCCCGGCGTCGCCCGCGGACGCGCCGAGGGCGCCGAGGAGCGCGACGACGGCGCGGGCCCGCATCGACGGCCGGCGCATCGCGCGGCGCGCAGAAACACCCCGGAAGGCGGCGTCGGGGGCGCCTCGAGACTGCCAGACAAGTGGCAAGAGGGGCTGAGCCCAGGTCGCAGGGAAGCGAAAGTCGGTATCTTCAACATGCCCTCAAGGAAAACGTTGCTGCCCCACGACAGAGCCGCTCACGCTGGGCAGCCCGTCCGCGCGGCCCAGCCCGTTCGGCGCGCCATGGGCAACGGCGCCGGCAGCGCCCGCGGCCCGGAGCCGCTGACGCCGCTCGCCGAGGAGACGAGCGGCCGCCACTTCGAGGCGGCGACGCCGAGCGGGCGGGGCCGGCCGACGTCGGCGCCTCGGAGCCGCACGCCGACGTCCGGCCGCGCTCCTCGGCGGAGCTCCGAGGCGGGCGGCGCGCGGCCGACGCCGCCGCCGGCGGACGGGAAGCGGCCGCCCGGCGCCGTGGACCTGCCCCGGAGCGAGCGGAGCCGGAGGGCCGTCGCCAAGGCGCTCCGCTACGCCATCTCTGACGACGACGAGTCGGACGACGACGCGCCCGCGCGGGCGCTGCCGGCCTACGCGAGCCGCCTGCGCCGCAGCCTCGACGGCGAGAGCAGCGACGAGTCGCCGCGGAGCCCGCCGCCGCGCGCGCCGCCCAAGGCCGCCGCGTCGCCCGGCGCGCCGCGCGGCGCCGCGGAGCGCAAGCGCGACGGCGTCGCCGCGCCGCGGCGGCGGCCGCCGCCCATCGGCTCGGACCCCGCGGCGGGCGCGCCCGGCGGCCGGCGCGCCGGCGAGCCCGGCGCGCTCGCGCGGCCGCCGGCGAGCCCCAGCCCCGCGGAGCCCGCGTCGCCCGCGCCCGGCGGCGGCGCCGCGCCGCGGCCCGGGGGCCGGCGGCCGCCGCCCGGGGCCGCCCCGCGACCGACCCCCGGCCCGCCGCCGCGCCACGCGTCGCCGGCGCGCGGGCCGAGGCCCGCGCCGCCGGCCGGCGCGCCGCCGCCGTCGAAGCCCGGCGCCGCGCGGTCGCCCGGCGCGCCGCGGCCCGCGCGCGAGCCGTCGCCGCCGCCGCCGACGCCCGCGCGGAGCCTCGAGCCCGCCGCCGCCGACGTCGACGACGACGACAGCGACGGCAGCGACGTGAGCGAGGGCGTCTACGACTGGTGCGCCTTCGACACCGCGCAGGGCCTCGACAACGTCGTCGACAGGCCGCGGGCCGCCGAGCCGGCCGACGCGCCCGCGGGCCACACGGCGCCGTCGCCCGTGGGCCTCCCGCGCGACGACGAGCCCGCGACGCCGCCGCCGTCCAAGCCCCCGCCCCCGAAGCAGCTCCCGCCGTCGCCCGCGGCGCCCGGGCCGCCGCGG